CTCCTTCTTCTCCCTACCTCCTCTGCTACTCTTGCGGCAGCATGCTTGCCGGAGGCGAGCTCGCGCAAAGGCGCCTGGTGGTGGCTCGGCATGGCAACAAGGGCGGTCAAGGTGGCGGCAGATCCGGTGTCCTCCTGACACCGTGGTCTAGTGGGCTTGGCTAGGCCGTGTATGTGAGTGCGCGTGTGTCCTGGAGCGGAGAAGCTCCGGGGTCAAGCCGGCGTCGAAGGCCGGGACAGGGTCGGGGCTTGGCATGGTCACGGCAGTGGACGAGGCATGGAGCAGAGGCTCGAGGTGGGTGTCGACGAGGTGGTGCAGCTGCGTGGACGTCGCGGGGTCCTCGGGCTCGGCCTGCGGTGGTTGTCACGGACGCGCCCGCGGAGACGCGGCCACGGACGACGTAGAGGACAACGCAGGGGCGAGGTGGTGCTCGCGGACAAGAGGCAGACGCGTGGTGGCGGACGGGGGACGGCGCCTCGGGCTCACCCTCAAGTCCGAGATGGTGCTTGCGGGCGGCCGGGGATCACGGCGTCGTGGGCGGCGCCGCGGCTCCGTCTTGGCGGGCTCTTCGGCGAGATGCGGGCACGACATGGTGGAGTAGGGGCTTGCGGTGGCGAGGCGACTGGTGGCGCGTCGGAAGATGGCGGCTCATGCAGAGGAAGAGGGAGAGGGATGGCGGCGGCGGCTGAGAAATGGATGAGGAGGGGCGGCGGCGGCTCGGCTATTTATGCTCGCAGGCTAGGGCAGCCAGGGGCCACGGACGGTGATCCTTGGCTTCCGTGCAGAGAAGGGGCATGCGGCGCACATCGAGGAGCAGAGCAGGTTTGGCATGGGGCTTGGCGTTGCGCGCACGCAGGCTTGCAGCGGACGAGCGGCGACGGCGCTGGAGGCCAGGGCGCGTGCGCCCTAGGGTTGGAGTGGAGGCTTCAGCTGCTGGCCAGGCTGGGCCATGCGGTGGCAGCGGCCTGGTTGGGCCAAGGCACTGGCGGGGCCACACGGCTGGCGAGCTGGGCCGGTGGGGCAAGGAGAGAGGGGCTCGGTTGGGCTGCTGCTGCTGGCTGCGTGGGCCGAAGGCAGGAGGCCAGGCTGGGCTGGTTCGGTTACTCGGGCCCGATGCCCATTTTCTTATTTCTTTTCTATTTCTTGCTCCTTTATATTTACTTCCGAGAGTTCTAGGTTGGTATACATGTGCCGCCTATCACGTGCTCACCCAGGTGGGGTCCACTAGGGTCTACTACGGGTCTTGGAATCCAATGCCAAGGGTTGACATCGATGGGCATTGATTTACAAGGAAGGTCGATTGACTTTATGAATTAGATCAAGGGATTCGAATGAGGTTCGAAGGCAAAAAGATGAATTGAGAGAGAGAAAAAGGGATTCATAAGATATTCTTGAAGGGATCAAAAGGATTTGCTATGGACTTGTGCTCTCCAACACAAAACACTAAACCAACAAAAGAACTCTGGCAAACTCCTACAAGTAATTCTATATGCATGCAACAATTTATTTATAAAGTGTTCTTAGTTTGACCTAGCATCTACATGCTTCACACATTACAAGAAATTTTTTAAAAAGTTCGTATTTTTGGTTTCCAGAAAAATCCGGGTTGTTACAGTCCACCCTCCTTACAGGAATCTCGTCCTCGAGATTTAGGGGTTAGTGTCACTAGAGAAGAGGGGTCCTCGTTGTCAAGTCATATGCACCAACGCATTTGTTTCGCGATTGAAGTTTTGAAGAGGGGCTTTTGGAAAAAGTTGTTCACATATGACTTTTTAAAATGGAGAAACTTTATTTTTTTTAAAATGGAAAGAGGTCCTTTTTGAGAGATCAAATCGGTTTTGTAGAAACTTATCTCCCCAAAAGGAGCTTCTGAAGCTTTCATAAACCAAGTTTAAATACCGCAGGGAATTTTTATTTCCTTTCTTCAATTTTTTTTGTTTTTTTGTTTCATGTGATTTTTCATTTCTCTTTTCAACTTTTATATTTTTATTTATTTTATTTCTTTTTTGCATTTACTATAATTAGTTATTTTGTTTGTCTTATTTTATTTTACTTTTATATTTTATTCTTTTTTGTTTTTTCTTTCTTTTTCCTTGTCTTTTATGTTATCCATTGATTTTTTTTATTTTTCTATTTTACCTTACATCACATCTATGATATTTTTTGTGATGTTCACTTAGTATACATGTGATCTTATATGATGTATTTAGTGATGTACACGTAATATATATGCGATGTTCTATAATGTATTTAGTGATGTTTTATGACGTATTTAGTGATGTTCACTCAGTATACATATAATGTTTTATGATGTATTTAGTGATGTTCACGTAATATATATACGATGTTCTATATGTACTCCCTCCGGTTCTCTAAAACAAGTCGTTTTGAGGTTGTCTTAAGTCAAACATTTTAAACTTTGACTATAAATATCTTCTTTTGGGTTGAGTTTGAAAATATGAAAGTGATATAAGTAGATTCATCTCGAAATATAGTTTCATAAAAGTATATATTGACTATATTTTATAAATATTTTATAGCAAAAAGTTACAGTCAAAGTCGTTTCTTAAAGACCGTGTCGATGTCCAAAACGACTTGCTTTAGAGAACCGGAGGGAGTATTCAGTGATGTTCTATGGTGTATTTAGTGATGTTCACTTAGTACACGTGATGTTTTATAATATATTTTAAGATGTTTGAAAAGTATCCATGTGATGTTCTTTTAATTTTTTTCTATTAGGTGTTTTTATTTTTTTTCCTTAGGCTTTGCTCTAGATTTTATTATTATTTTTATTAATGTTATGTGTTTATTTATTTTTATGTATATCATAATACCAATTACATGAACCTAAAACTAGAATACTGTTATTCTAAATCGAGAACATTTTTCTTACGAAAACGAAACATTGTTCTCTGAATCTAGAACATCATCTCTGCTCAATAAAAGAAAATATTCTATCTTCATAAAATAAATGTTTGTTAATAAAATTTTATCTAAATATATCCATGTGGGGTCTTGTTTTGAATGATTTGTTGCAATAAACCCGGTGCTGTAATCGGGGTTTAATTTGGATGTTTGGTCTAGGAGTTATGATTTTTTTTATTCTGCGTGAGATGAGAGTGACGTGGGTGAGGTGGGCCCCGCGCGATGGGCCAGCCTGCGCAAATTAACTGCTGACGCTAAGCATCCTCCCGCGCTACCTACCCTTATGGATGAAAATGGGATGGGAAATTCCCGTACCGACCGACACCGTATACCGCATTAACCGATCACATACCGTTTTTGTAGGAAAAACAGGAAACGGGAAACCGACACCGTATTTTAGGTAGGAACGGGAACAAAATCAGTTAAGGAATTTTTCCAACCGTATTCACGGTTTTCGTATTCGGGCAGGAAAATTCCCTGCGGTATTTCTGTATTTTGTACACCTATAATCATCGTCACCTCTCTCAAGAAATATTAATACTGATAATGACGCCACTGAAGTGTGTTAACTATAGCTGGTTAGTACTTGTAGAAAAGGGCTTGAAATCAGTAAGCCGCCCTGCAATAAGCCGGTCAGCAGGCGGCTTAGACCAAACTGTACAAGCGTGTACACAATATGCTACCTTACTGTTGTTGTCGACTTAAATGAACTACAGTACAGCACTATAGCTACTCCACAATGAAAGAGAATTAAGTCAGAATAGGTTTGGGTAAGAAAATTGACAATGTATCCTCTGTTGTCTTCCATATATAGTTGGTCCTCCACAGAGAAAATAAATGCCCAGGATTGGACTATTGACAACACATCCTCTATTAACAATATAACAATGCTCCAGGACGTTATGAACTTGTCCACTTATTTGCATATGGTTGCTATTGTTGCATCGAGCTCATTGTTTTAAGTGGTTACATGTATTGATGTTCCCGTTTTGTGTTACCGCTTTCCGATCGTAATCGACACGTTCCCGTTCGAAATATTCCATTCCCGATATCCTGTAATACCGGTTTCGTTTTCCCGTCCGGCCTTCCCGTTCCTGGCAAAAAAATATAGGAGCGGGAATGGTTAAGACATTTTCCCGACCGTTCCCGACCGTTTTCTTCCCTACCTACCCTGGGAACTCGGGGTTACGGTCCGAGTGACGGGACCCTGGCGCTCCCATTTCTGTTGTCATTCACTCATGCTTTCGACGTGATAGAGTGGCATGTCAGGCATTGTGTGGAGCTTGACTCAATACTATTTGTAACCTGAACATTTCGGCCCGGTTCGCTTCGCTAAAAAAACAAGCCGAAACACTGTTCTGGCTGATTTGTCGTGAGAGGAAAACACCGTTCCGGCTGAAAAAATAAGTTGAAAAGTACGAATGATAAGACAAGCGAACGTGACCTTCCCTGGTTTGGCACTAGCTCTTCGGTGCCCATACGAGTTAGAGTGTCTAATAAGTACCGTGCGGAGTCCGATAGATCTAAGATGAATGGAAATGCATGATGGGACCGTTGATGAATTTCTAAGCCTTAATGTTCATACGAGTTAGGGTTGTGCACGCCGTCCGTTCCAAGATGAATGATTACGACGTGATTGTTAAATAAATCTTGGAGCCCCCAAGTTGTAGAAAGCACGTCCAGTAAGTAATAAAGACGCCATGAACATGCATGCTATTCGGACTTAAATGGAAATCTTGATGGTTTTCCGGCTTGCAGCGGCGCGGCGCTGGGGCTACGCCATCGCCGTCGGGCATGAATGCTCCCGGCAAACGAAGAACATCTTCATTCATGACACAAATACACCATCACTCTTGGTATTGTTGTCCATATGATGAGGCACAAATACGATATAATATAGTAGATAGTAGACCGATTGACATGCATAAGCGCACCTTCAGTCGGTTAACAAGGTACGCACACCACGAGGACCAACTGATTCACACGATTTATTCATACGCCACGCCATACACGAGCGAGCGAGGCAAAGCGCGCGCGCGCCCGGGCACGCAACGCGACCGCCGGCCGCCGGCCGCCTAGCAGCTCGGGATGGAGATGCCGCAGGAGGAGAGCGTGCGGCGGGCGTTGGGGCTGTTGATGTAGCTGCTGTACACCGGGTTGCGCGCGTACTGGCAGAAGCACGGCTGCTGCGCGCGCAGGTTGGCGCAGCACGGCGCCGAGGGCGCCGACCCGATGATGACCGCCGGCGCGCACACCGCCAGCTGGGACGCGTTGCACTGCTGCGCCGACGCCCCGCCGGCGCTCGCCGCCGCCACCACGACCAGCGCCAGGGCCACCAGCATCGCCACCGCCTGCTTCGCCATGGCACTACGTACCGCTTCTTCGCTCGTTGCCTTCCTCGATCTGAGTGGAGAGAGTGATGAAGGCTGAGATGTTGTGGGCCGGTGGTGCACGGGAATGAAGCGCGCTGTGGCGTGGTATTTATAGGCGCCTTGGGCCTTGGCGGAGAGGGCCAACGTCGAGTGAAAATTCTGCATTTTAGTCCTTTTTTAAAACATATTTTATAGGTAGACCCTCCGTGGAACTTTTTCTAAAAATAGTCAAAAGCTCTGCGTGCATTGATACTACGCCGATGTATGTGGCTCGACGTGCTACGATTGAACGCTAAACTTGCCACGTAAGCGCCAATGTGTCGATCCGGCCGAAGCTCGGCGTTTAATCATTTAACGCCAAGGTTAGGCACGTCTGCGTTTAATGAGTTCACGCCAAGGTAGGGTGTTGCTACATTACAAGCTAATAGCCCAAGTGTATGATGTACTTGTCCATTCAATATCTTTTGAAGATCCATAAAAAATAAATATAAGTCCCCTTGACATGAGATCATTTTCAATATAACCATAAGGTTACCCTCCACGGGACAAAAATACATGGATTGATAAATTGTTTGCCAATATTTATACAAATAATTTTTGTGAATTCCGGTGTTAATTGGGAGCACACCCATGCTTGTATAAATAGTTGGACTTGGCAAGTCATTTTTTTGGTGGTGCGAAATAGAAGCAAGTAAAATAAAAGAATACACACATGGAAGTGTCATGTATCTGGGCTAGCCTTGATGCTGTGTTGTGCCTTGGCTTTCGAGATAAATATATTTCCAAAATGCAGTGATGAGCTCGGATGTTGAAAGCTAGGAGTAGTAAGGTGCAGCATAGCACATGAACAGTCAAATGCAGGAAATGAAATTAACCAATAAGATGTTCATATTAAAACATTCGCCCTGTGAAGCCAAGGGTGATTAGTTGCACTTAAACATCCAAATGCAAAGAGTTATTATTTTAGCAAAGTAACAAAAGTGCCCAAGGTTTCTGTACAAAAAATTTAGAACTAATGAGTTTTCTTAAATTTAGAACTAAGTTTTCTTCTGCTCGGTTGTTATTTTGCTCCGAACAACCCTTGCCATGGACGCCTTGCTTCTAGTTCCCCTGTTGATACAATTCTAAATAGTTAGTATGAAGAGCAATTGAGATGTGAAAAGCTTAGTTAAACACGAAGTAATAAAAGTGCCCCGTTCCAAGTACAGGGTGCAACCAAGCCTAAATTGCTATCATGTTCCATTCTTTGTTTCAAAATATGGAAAAGAAAATCCGATCGAAGTCGCATCAGGCACAATGAATCAGGTGAACTACAGATGAATTCATTCTTCATGTAAGCAGATCTTTACCCATAAGTGCTGTGTAGAGAACATCCCGAGGGCAATATTGTTCCTAGTAGTAATAAAAGTTTGCAAGCTCTGTCAACATATTGTTTTGGCCAAATTGGAAGAAATTTCGGACCAGCAACTACAACTACCTGAAAGGCAGAAACATAATAACTCTGATCATGCCCAAGGAAGCAGCCGCAACTAAGGTTAATGTTCACAAGAGTAACACGACTATATCAAAACAAAGAAAGACGCCAACCTGACTTTTCCGTTCCTATTAATAATTATGTATGTACAGCCCTTTGATTTGATTCACTGCAACCAAGTTAAACATGACGGAACCAATGCTCGCAACTTACAGATTACTAATCACAATGGACTTAGGTGCACTATGTGATCTTAATCAACTGTTAGCAACCATACGGTCAAAAAGCAAACCAAATTTAGAAAAGGATACCCCGTAGACAAAAGTACCATAACCAAACCGTACCTTGGCGTGAACTCATTAAACACTGACGTGCCTAACCTCCGCGTTAAATGATTAAACGCCGAGCTTTCGGACCGGATCGACACGTTGGCGCTTATGTGGCAAGTTTAGCGTTCAATTGTACCGTGCCGAGCCACATATCTCAGCGTAGTATTATTGCACACCGAGCTTTCGGTCTATTTTCAGAAAAAGTTTCGTAGAGGGTCTATCTATAAAATATTGTTTAAAAAAGAGACTAAATGCAAAAATTTCACCAACGTCGATCGACTCGTCGTTGCAAGACAATGCTTCTTGCGTGAATGTGCTCTACATTTGACTGGAGGTAAAATTCGTCCTTCGATCGTCGATCGGGTGCTGGTACAGCTTCACGGCGGACCACATGCCAAAAGGGTCACTAAAACCGTTGTTCGGTCATATAGGGAAGCGAGTCCTAAGAACTAGACATATACCAGCTGTAGTAGCGTGGCCAGTAGAGATTCACTCTGTTCTAAGGGCGTGTTTGGTTCAATGAACTGTTCTACGCTTGGTGATGTGGTACATCATGAGCTCATTTCTTTAAATTTGGTGGAATGACTTCATTATTTATAATAGTAGTAATTATTAGCTTACGAGGAATGAGATAGTGATTCATCAATCTATTTCCATCCCACAAACAAAACAAAAAAGTAAGAAATGGATAGAGGATGGATTAAATCATTCCTCGAACCATACACCTTATTATAAATTTATAGTAGTAGGTCGCTTTAATTTTTTCTAACTTACAAGGACCTGCGCAAATGACGCAACCTGCTAGCGTTTTTTGATTTGTAACATTTATGATTTTTTATTTAAAAATATATTTGTGCAAATAGCAGTGACAGAGTCAGAATTTTCAAGTTAGGTATTGCTAGCATAAAAATGTAAACACAAAAATATACTAAATTAATGTAGAGGTAAGACATATTTTATGGCAGATTTAATGGAGCCAATTTAGTGTTATATATGTACGCTTATTTTTCTATAACTTGATCAAAGCTAAATTGACCGATATTAATTAGAACGGTAGAATACGTATCTGGTGGAGTGTGGAATTCAAATTTCAGCTTGCAAACTAAAATCGCCGTGCACATTTTTGCGACCTCAAACATACAGTAACGCAGAGTGGCCAAGCTGGGTGCACACTGAATGTTGTCAGTGGTAGATTGCAGGCTGGCGGCTCAAACTTCGCATGATCACAGTGCAGCTTCGAGCAAAAAGCATGCAGCGTACGCAGTCGATCAAAACTTGAAAGCATGTGTACGACGGCAGAAACAGTAGGTAGATGGATACAGGAGTCGCTGTTGCTTATTTTCGTGAGAGAACCTGACGAAGTGCTCTGCTCCCGCCGCGCGTCTACATGACCTGGAGGGCTGCATCTGATTATCATTAGTTTCGCCGGCTGCAAGTAATTGTGGGCGTTGCTTATGCTCAACTACTACTACTAGCTACAGACAGAGGACTGGAGGAGTGCCCTGTAGCTAGCCCACCTGGGAAGGAATTTTACACAAACAAACGTGACGCTGTTCCTGGACAAATCGATCGGCTCTACTACAGGTGCCCGTGCCTATCCACCTGTGATGAGATTATTACGAGGTTATTGCCCCCGATCGGCTGGCTGGGCTGGCTGGCCAGCCCCTCACATGATACTATTTACATGAATCAGTCAGCAGTATTTTTTTCTTACATAAACGAACCAATAATAATGCGAATCAGCCAACCAAACATGCTGACTACTATTAGACATGCCCGTGCTAATTAGTCAGTTGCCAACAAGATCGGTGCACTACTCCTTCAGCAAACCACATGTGCTCTGACAGGCCTGTGTGCCCGAATTCGCTGTATGATCATGACTCGGGAAGCCGTGTCTGAAATGAAAGCGGAAACGACGTACTACTCCCTGTTATGTGATAGGCAGGCAGGCCAGCTCATCGTGACACAGAGAGTGTGACGCCAGATATATCCGAACAACAAACAGATAACAATTGTGATGCACCGATGGTCAATAATGAACGCCACTTCCATGCACGGGTAAACAAATTTGCACACATCTGAAGGAATCCTTGTAGTTTTAGACCAGCATCTAAACTCGTTTAATTTGGAACAATGGAATTCTTCTGAACTTCTGCAACAATTGTTATGCCAGAAGGTGTCTCCCTCGTCTCCCCCTCGCGTGTGCATGAGTAGCAGCAGCCGTACCGGACCCGAGGCCGGGGTGGCGGATAGGTGTAACTTGGGAGGTAGCAGTAGATAGCCGGCAGAGAGGTAACTCGAAGAACCGGATTAAGAATGAAACTTTTATAGAAGCAGGTGATTAGTCTATAACCTTAAAAATTAATCTCTTCATTTTAAATTATAAGATATTAGGCTTTTCTATATGCATTACTATTACTATATGTATCTAGACTAAAATATGTTGTAATTTAAAATGGAGAGTATTTTCTTATTCTTCCACATGTACTCCCTTCGTTCTATAAACAGCCTGTTCGTTTGGTCGTGTTTGGCTTATAAGCCATGGCTTATCAGTCAACGAACAATATTTTTCTCTCACACCAAATCAGCCAACAGTACTTTTAGCCATGGCTTATCAGCCAAACAAGGCCAAACGAACAGGGCGAAAAATCGTTTCTATGGGATTCGTGTAAGTTTAACTAGGTTTGTAGAAAATAATAGCAACGATATATCTAAAGATACTAATTATGTTATATAAATATTATTACTCTTTATATATAGTTGATCAAAATTAAAAATATTTGAATTCTCAAAAATCAAGGATGATATTTTTTTTACTAATCACATCCAGCAGGACCTTACGGTGTAGGATCGAGATGGCGAACTAGAGGAGGGTAAATAACCTATTTAAAATTTCTTAGCAAATATGTTAGATAATTAAACGGCGAAGCACGTGTTGCGCTAGCCCACTAAAAATATAAACCACATACCACAATCCTAGTGACTATGATCTTTAAGCACACAATTGGCTAAGTCACTATACTAAGTTAGTGAGCTCTCAAAAACTAACTAAAAAGCCTCACTAACTAATAGACCTGACACAAGCTAGCTCTCAAAACTAATTACACTAAAGAGCGTAGCAACACTAAGAATGTAATACAAGAGATGGCGGTGATGATTATACCGACGTGTCGAGGAGTTAGCCAATC